TGTACCAGTCTCTGGCGAGGTAATTACTGAAATATTCACAGTAGCATAAGTAAAATTCACAATAGCCACTGAGAACAGAGGCAGAAATTAGAATCTAGAATAGAACAGGGGAGCAATTCTTGCAGTGACCATGGCATGGAGCAAAGGATGAGAGATTATGCCGAGTCAGTGTCCAAACTCCAAGAAAGCCCAGAAGGTCTTCCGGTAACCAAGACCAGTCAGCACGAGAGAGTCTCATAGCTGACAGCTCTGCACTGAGCTTCTGTGGCTTTTTATTGATAGAACCAGGAAGCAATAATAAAGAACAACAGAAGGATGGCTGTAAAAGAATTTATGTAGGGAACAGGCAAAGGACAGAGGAAGGTCAAGGTAGCCTGTTATATGATTGAGCTTAGGGCCAGTCTAAGTAATAAGTTGGAGTATGGGAAAGAGGGCTAGAGCCTTCACTTCTTAAGACCATGTATTTTAATCCTATCTGGACTTGTGGCCCTGTAGGCTATCTTTTAATCTGTCACCGTGCATTCTGGGAACTTTCTGGCATAGGCTCAAAAAGTCCTTTATCTCTGTATATCCATCTCATATATATTTCTGGCCAAGGTCCCCACAAACAATGATGTGACTCTACAAGGACTGTCCGTCCGTATAGCAATCACTGCCTTTTTGGTGGTGTATTTTCCTTCAGATATGCAGAAGTAGGGAAATTGTGCTGTAAAATGGCCTACTATGGAGAAGTATAGCTTAGAGATACTCACTAGAAAAATAAACTGGCAAATTGCAACTTTTTATATAGTTTGTAATAGTCCTGTCTGAGAAGGGATGAAGATGTGCTTATAGGAGATCTAAGCATTCAGGAGAAGTGAGTCTAAAGTGTATTTTATTTTTATAGCATGTCTCAATTTGAACTCTTACATTTTAAGTGCTCAATAGTCCTGTGGTTACTATGTGATAAATATTTGTAAATGTTTCATGGAATCATGCAAATCGTGTCTTTTCACTTTTTATACACAAAAACTTTACTAAATTGTCCCAATTCTCAAAAACTTATCTTATAGGCTGGGTGTGGTGGTGCACTCCTATAATCCCAGCACTTGGGAGGCTGAGGCAAGAGGATTGCTATGAGTTCAAGACCTACCTGGGCTATATATTGAGTTCAAGACCAGCCTGAACTGCATAGTGAGACCTTGTCTCCAAAAAAAGTCTTATATAACTGATACTCTTCCCTTCATACAACTGATAATTGCTCAAATTACATCTGTAATTCTATTTCTGCTTTGTACGCAAGAGTATGTAGATTGTAAATGCAGGTTCACCATTTACATGTTTTTATATTTACTTTTTACCCATAAATTACATGCCTTATAATTCACTTGTTCTGATGCCAGTATTGCTACTCCTGTCTCTACTTTCAAAAGTTTTTGTGAAAGGTTTGTTTCTAAGGTTCAAGTATTTTTTTTTAGAATATCAATCTGGTAGTTTTTCATGTAAGAATTCTGTCCATTGACACAATATATATATGTATTTGATTTATCCCTCCCATTTATTGTGAAGTTAATCTTGTTTCCTCTTCCCTTTGTCTTACTTTTCTCATTGCTGAGACAAAATACTCAACAGCCAAAGTTAAAGGGGGAAAGGGTGATTTGGCTCACAGCTGGTAAAGGTTTCAGTCCACAGTTGGCTGGCTCCATGGCAGAGGCATCACAGAGGAGAAATAGTCCAGGACAAGTGGGCAGAAAGAGACCATTAGCTGTCTTTCCGTTTCTTGTATTTTACGCAGGCTACCCACCCTAAGGTAGGTGTAGTACACCCTGAGTCCTAGCCAGAACTATGTTAAACCAGTCAATGGATTGATTTACTAACCACACACCCTTGATCCCAATGTCACACTCTAGATCCAGCCACCTCTGAAAAGCTCCCCCAATAACTGCATGACACTTGCGGGGTGGGGAGGGCATTTAGACACAACTATAACACCTTTACATTTTTTTTTGCCTTTTTCTTTCTGATTTTGGAAATAGATGGCATGTACATGCAACGTAGTATGTTTAGATCTGTCTCCTATGTCTGTTTCACTTATAAGAGTCCTTGTGGTGATACTGAGTCTACCTGCATGCACCAGGACAGTCTTCCCATCTCAAGACCCTTAGCTATATCTGCAGAGTCTTTTTGCCATATAATGTAGCACATTCAGACCCCAGTAACTGGGATGTGGACACCTACGTGGGACCATTTCACCTGCCCTGGGCAATAAACCTGAGTTAAACCTAGATTCTTATTCAAGGCCTGGAGGTTTCCCTCTATTAAACCACTGAAATTTTTGTTTTGGTTTCTGTTTTAAGAATTCCTATCATCCACAAATTCCTGTTTTGCAGGCTCGTGGCTCTCATCTTACTCAACTTTCTCATCTCTCTCCTCCCAGTATTGTAAGAGCAGCATTTCTGGAAAAGCCTATGTTTTCATTTTGTTCTCTGCACTATCCATTTCTCTCCTTTGCTTTCAATGTACATTTCAAAAAATTCATCTTTTTTTGGTTGCTATGTTACTGCCCCCCCATCATTCTCCAGAAGTAATTTTATTTTCACAAGGTACCGAGGTAAAGAAATCCTCTGAAATTTGTAAAGTACAGATACTCAAAATGAAACTTTCTTCCTGACTTTACATGTATATTCTCATCCACTATGTAGAAGGAAACAGGCCTACGTACAAACAGTAAGTTCCCCTTAGAAAAGTATACCTCCCCAAAGCTTACTTTTGAGAAGATAAAGGTAGAGAACAGGCTAGTGTTTTCAGTCCTGAGGCCACTGACTACTTTTGAGTGTAGTCTCACTAGACTAGTGGTGGTAGAAGTTTTTCAGAAAGCGTTTAAAGGAGACTGGGAGAAGAAATGAGTGGAATCTGTATGGAAAAGCTGTATGAGAAGTGGAATTAGAAATTCATAGAAGGTAAGCAGAGTCAGTGGATGATTTTCCAAGACTTGTACCAAAATGGTATTAGCAGGGAAGACAGAGTGATCCTGTAAGGGCTATTTGAAATGCGCATGCCTTTCAAATGTTTTCTAGTGTATAGGGTAAGTGGAGAAGCTATGTGTGGATCTCTAGCGAGGAGAAATGCCTGTCTTTTGAGTTTGTGGATCCTGCTGAGATGGCCTCAAGTGTTTAGGTGTTTGGGGTCCCACATGGATAACAGCTTTTCCTGTGTGGTGCCTCTGGAGAATGTGTTAGTGATTTTCTCGATGGATCCACTGCAATGGGCTCAAGATGCCCATCTTTGTATCAGAGGAAATGCCTGTTTTTCTTGCTTTAAAATCTATTCAAACCTTCCACAGAAAATGAATATCCACATACAGGCCTACAGCAGCCTGTAGGTTTTCATTCTAAGCTATTTTTAAAAGTTTCTATTTTAAGAATCCTTCAAGTTAAATATTTTATACACGTGTAAAAGGAAAACCTCATTTACAGCAGTACTGATCCACATAAAAACTGATGGTTGTGTTGACTCTCATCTATTCAATCATCCAGAGCTGTTAAAGATCTCTGAGTGATCTTGGTATGCCAGGCTCTTCGCCTACCACTGCACCCTTTGCTGAACATCTTTTACCCAACTGTGTAGCTAAAATCACACCCATTTTGTCCTATCCAGAGTGATTTCCAGAACATGTAACTGCTAGAACACAGTACCTGCTATCACCTCAAAACTGCTGATATCCTCAATTTCTTCTAAAACAAACTCAAGCCTAGCAAATCACCCAGTGAATATCTTCACTGGTGAAAGTTCCCTGGTCTGAATAAAATAGGAACTCATTTTTCAGAAGCTCTGGTAGTGTGTGTCATTCTAACACTTCTTGTACCATTAGTATATAGGAAGCATCTGCCCAGGTACTGCAGTGACTATTCCTGTGATATGGTTTTCAGAGACCATGTGTTCTTGGGGATGGGGATTTAGCTCAGCAGCACAGCGCCTGTCTGGCAAGTGCAAGGTCGTGAGTTCAATTCCTGGTACCAGAAAAAAACCAAAAAAATAGAAAAATAAAATAAGAGACCATGTGTTCTTATGGTACAGTGCTGAATGCCATGTTCCTGTCATAGGCTATTTGCATCTCATTCCATACAGACTGGATTCTAAGAGCTCTGAAAGGTATTCCAAACCATCTCACATAGTCCTAGCTTGTCGACAGTGTGTTCAGCCCCTATTACCTCTCTGCAAAGAATTAGAAACTTGTGGTTTTAACCTATTTCAATTGCCTTTTCATGTCATGCAGTCTTCAGAAAAGGCAGTAAGGTACAGGGTACTTTATGATGGATTATCTCAAAGAAATTATCTCCATAAAGGCCATCATATGGGGACTAAATTGTGGAAACACGACTTTCTTAGATTTCTGTTTAGTGCCTCATCCAACCAACATTTCCGGTAACAGCTGGCCTTTGTCAAGCTACTTTGACGTATGTTCCCCATACGCTAATGGAAGAGACTTGTACAACCTTTGCTTGTTTTTTCATTTCCAGCATCCACTATAGTTGTAGAACCAAGTTGGGGCTGAAAACAGTCCAAGTAACCTTGAGACACTGACATAAACATTTTGCCCTCACCCTTCAGAGGGAGTACGCTGCGGATAACACTATTCTCATGCCAGTGGCCTCCAAAACTTGAAGAAAATAAATATGCACTGGTTGTGGAAATTTGTAGCAACCTAGGAAGTGAATTCTACCCACTGTTTTCACAGAACCTAGCTGTAACTGTCCAAACAGTAGTTAACTCAATACACCACCATCAATTACATACAAGAAAAAGCCTTTTTTATGCGAAAAGTAGTATTAATATACCCATTTTTCACCACAGTTGTGTAAAAATTTAAGGTTAAAATGCTTCAGAGCTAGCTACCTGGCTCACAGTTCAACCAAAACAGAAAAATGTAAGGTGCTGTGATGAATATTTTGTCCTAGCACTACCAAATAACCCTTGTCTGTCTCAAGATGAAGTTTAACATATATCCAAGTGCATATTGATATTTTCAACAGTTTTAAAAACAAACATCCTATTCGTGTAATTACAACAATAACAACAAGTAGGCACTATCATGCATTGTTTAAAACGTTTTGGATACAGTTGTTCTGAAAGTAGATTTCACTTGCCATCTTAAACGGCCTTCTATTCCTCGAAATGTGTTTCAAATCAAGGGGAGTTACTTGGTGTTGAGGCGTAGCAACTGCTCTACGCCATTTATCAAAAGGGACTTCAACTTTCCATCTTCTTCCACTTCTACTCTTTCTTGGCCATTCTCAATGATTCTCTTGGTAGTGATTTTCTTTCCATTAACTATTTTGGTGGAAGTTGACATGGACTTGAAGCTGCCTGCTCCACCGCTGTCACAAGACATTGAGAAAGAAGAAAGGCCTCCATTTCCCAGGGAACCAAAGGAAGTAAACTGTGTATCAAAGGAAGAAAAATCACCCCTGAAAGCTGGAAATTCACTGAAGGGAGAGAAAAGGGATTCAGACCTTCTCCTTCCTTGGGAGCTCCTTTGGCATCCAAAAATATCCTCAAGTGGGCCTCCGAAGAAGTCAAATGAGAAAGGGTCCTCGCCCCTGAAGAACTCCTTGAAGACCTCCACGGGGTCACGGAAAGTGAAGACAAACTCGAAAGGGTCAACGAAGGAAGCCTGGTTGGCTTTGGCACCTCCATCCACTCCTGCCTCACCATAGCGGTCATAGACGTCACGTTTCTTGGCATCGGACAACACCTCGTAGGCCTGGGCCACTTGCTTGAATTTTCTTTCTGCTTCTTCCTTGTTCTCGGGATTTTTGTCCGGGTGCCACTTGAGCGCCAGCTTGCGGTATGCCTTCTTGATGGCCTCTGATGAGGCCTGCCGAGGCACACCCAGCACCTCGTAGTAGTCCACCATGTTGGACAGCCCTCTAAGGCCAGAGGCTTGCTTCCCAGCCCCGTGGGGCGGGACGAATGCGCGGTCAGGCGCAGGCGCCCCACAGGGACGCCCTTGTGACGTAGCAATTTTTCATTGGTTGAAGCTGAGTTTGCCTCACCATCCCAGAATTCATTGCTCTAGGGGCTTGGAGGAGCTCTGTGACGCGATGGACGTGTTTCCACCCGCTCCTGCCCCTCCCACCTTATTGGCACCTCTTCCTCCACACACTACCCCTGCTGTCTCCAAGTAGGGTAGAAAAGAGGGAACTTAGGCGGAGGGGAAGAGTGTGACTCTTGCTACTTTAGAAAATGTTTTTCTTGAAGTCAGCTTGGAATCAACCTTCGCCTCACCCTGGGGGAAGGCTAGGGTGATAGGAGTGGAGTTTGACTGACCCTGGGCCCAGGGCCAATCATGTGTTACAGAGGACTGCAGCAAACGTTTTTGGCCTCAGAACCCATTTGCTTTCTTGTTTATATGGGTTATTCTGTCATATATTTCATAGGAGAAATTTAAACAGAATTTTAACAGATATATTCATTAGTCAATTTAAAAACTCATTACTAACATTAATCATATTGTTAGGAGAAAATAACTTTTTTGGAGAAAAAAAAATCAGTGAGAAGAAGGGTGTCGTTTGGTAACTTTCAAATCTCTTTTTATTTTATGGCTTAAAGAAGAGAGTTGGAGTCTCTGCTTCTGTGTTGACTCTATTGTGATATTGCAACATGGCCTCAGAAGATTCCCCTATACATTTATGGAAGAATGAGAGGGGAAAAGTTAGACAGCATCATTGTTAGGGAAATCGTTTTGACTTTGTAAAATTACCTTGAAAAATTCTTTCAGATCCCCAGAGTTCCCTAGCCCATCTGAGAATCACTGGACTAGAAAATTAACTTTATTAAAACTTGCAGCCATATTTAAAGCACTGTGAGTAAACTCAGGATGTTGTGATTATTCCTACTAAAACTGCTATGTCATGACTGTGGATTTTCTTTTTGTTACTTCTTAACATTCGAGTTCTCTCCATTTTCTCCTTATTCTCTCTTGGTGCTGTATTCCTTGCTTTGATCCGTTTGAGGCAACACCCCAATAAAAGTCCTTTAGTTCTAAAAGGGGAATAATTAACCAATGAACTTTCTAATATTTCATCATGAAGAGTAGTAGGTCTAGCTGGGTGCATTAAGCTCACCAGAACAAACTGGTTCATATCACGTAGACTGACTGAACTTGAACCCCTGGACTTGGCGCTTGGCAAGCATGCAATAAATAGCAAGAAGCTTATCAGGAGTAAAGTCCAGTAGGAACAAAGCAATTTGGGAACGTATAAAGCAAATTTTGTGGGAAGGCAAGTCATCCAGAATGGAGGGTAAAGTGAAGAGAAAGGGATGAAGCAGAAGGAGTAAACAGGAAAAATAAGCTTGGACAGGGGACTGAGGTCCACTCCAAGAAGTCCCAGTGGCAAGGCTGAAGAGTCTAAGTTTTCTTATAGGCTCTAGGAAGCCATTGACCACAGTGCCAGAAGTGGGGGTGGGGTGGGGCAGGGCTGGCACAGCTAATAGGGTAAATCAGAGGGACAGCTAGAAGGAGTTGAGGGAACGGTGGCTGGTTCCTTGGAACAGAACCATGTCAGCTAAACCCGAGAGGCAGTGGTAGAATCATCCAGATTCAGCATTTGCTTGGGTATGGCACCTAGAGCAGAAGAAAGGAAGAAAAAAGGAAGTTGGTCCGTACAGAAATGTTCACTGTCTGTGAAAGTGAGATGAGGGTTCCAGGGTGGAAACCCCTTTTATGAGGAAGGTGTGCATTTTTACATAGTCTAGTAGCAAACTACTTGATGAAAGGCAGAATAGAAGAAAACACTGCAGAAGTTTGAGGAAGATAGCCTTGTTTTCTCTGGAAGGTCCCACTTAGGATCCACAAGAAAGTGTTGATGTTGCTTGTTTGGTATTGAGCCCCTCTCTTCTGATCTGATCAGCTAAGAGAGTCCCAAGTGGTGAGACTATTGACTTCTAGCTGTCATTTAAGAAAGAACCTCTTTATGGGTTCCAAGACCCTTTTACAGATTCCCACTGCTCAGTAGCTCCCCAAGAAAGATCAGGTTGCTCCCGTGTTCTGTGTTTCCTCAGCTTCCAGAGCACACCCCCCTCTGCAATATAACTGTCCAGTTTGTTTCTGTCTGCTGGACCTCTTCCTTACAGCAGGAAGCCATTTCTAACAGATTTTCTGGACCTGCTCCTAACATTGTGCCTGGAGCATAGTAGGGATCACATGTCCTTAAATATTTGGTGAAAGAGAGAATTAGCAATGAGTTGTGTCAGGTCTGCTCAGACTCCAAGGCAGAAGCTTTATTGGATTGCACAGCAGTGGTTCTCATAGTAGTTCATGAAGATGGATGTGGATTGCTGGACATCCAGATTAGGAAACGGTATTTCCCTGATCTGAAGTAGAGTGGGGCCCCAAACCATGCAGCTATATAGAATCCCCCAAAAAGCTCCAAGGGCTGGGATATAGCTCTGTGGTAGAGCACCAGCCTAGAATGTGTGAGGCCCTGTGTTGATCCCCAGCACAGAAAAATAAATAGATAGATAGATTCAATAGAGGAATAGCTCTGAGGCTGTGTGTGATGCAGGAAAAGTCATAAGATCACTATCGTATTGATTGTGTTTGCCATCTCTTTGATGTGATCTGTGGATGAACTCTGTGACTTTGGAACTTTGGAAAAATTATCAAGAATTATTGCTTTTAAAGTTTAACTTGAATTGAAGCTTTCAGAATTGCAGAGAAGTGTTCAACAAAGGGCAAGAGCATTGCTACATCTTTTCTTCTAGGCCCAAGAAAGAGTGCTGGAGGCTGGGGAGGAACTTCAGGGCATGTGTGTGTGTCCCTATGGAAGTACATGCAAATCTAGAGGTCTGTTGATGAAGGATGCTGGCTTAGGGAAAAGGGTTAGTACCCTTGTATATACGCTCCATGGAACACCAAAGCTTTAAAGTCAGCCATTTCTCCATGAAGTCTTCCAGCGTATCTATAGGTGTGAGTGGCTGTAGTGTCAGGATCTGTGCTTTTATTTTGGGACTGTGTAGAACAGCAGTGGATCCCAAAAGAAAGGAGTGCCGTGTTCAGTTCTGTCTATACCTGGGCTTGCCTGTTCTTCAGGAGGGGTGACTCTGCTATGATCTCCTAAGACATCAGCTAGTACTGTGTGAAAACCTTCTCTTTCATTGCAGATTCTTTTTGTCTGCCTTTTCTTTCTTTATGTTAACTGGACAGTGACTTGGGGATCGCAGCTTTCTTTCTAACTTATAATTCATTGCAAGTTTCGACCAAGGACGTATACCACTCTCTGTACTACCAGAGACTGTGAGAGTTGTTAAGAACTACAGGCTCTGTGCACTCACAGAGTAGCTCTACCACTTAAGATAGACAGGACTCTGGAAAATCTCTTTGCCTCTCTTGGCCTCAGTATCTTTACAAAGTGGGGAAAATGCTATGATATCTCCTTTATGGCATAGTTTTAAGGATGACATAAAATACGTTGTGGAATGCTTAGCTTGACAGTGTTTGGCACATCGTACAAGCTCAATAAATACGAATTCTCGTTCTTATTTTTGTTCATCTGCTTCCTTTGCTGGGCTCAACATATATTTGTGGGACAAATGAACCAAAACTCACTGCCAGTGGTCAGCCACCGCCCTGAGTGAGCTGTGGAGGAATGCTTGGCCCTTCACAGTCCAAAGCGGATCTGCAATGGCAGTTTCCAAAAGGCTAAGAAATACTGTTTTATTTCTGGAAGGGAAGTTTACTGTGTCACCTTGTGGTGCTTTTTCCTCTCTAGTAGTATTTTCTTGATCTCTTAAAACATTAACGGATCCAAAGGTACTATAGATGTTTTGCTTTCTGTTCTTACTCGCGAGTGTGATTTGAAGTGAGAATTCCAGCCTGTTAAGCCTATTGTCTATTGCGGTCTATTAAGAAAACCCATTGGTATCCACCCTCTTGATTTCTAAAAGTAAACCTCCTGCTGCCCTTGCACATCAGTGCCTTGGGTCATGTGACACAATCAAACATTAACTTAGTGTGTACATTGGCTCTGGCTATATGGGAGCTGGTGAAGGCGAGCAAAGGCAGGGGCGCCATGGCTATGGCGTCTCAGGGCCCGCGCCTGCTTGTTCTGGGCCTTCTGCTGTGGGCTCTCCGGCCCTTGGGGTCCCATGCTGGGAAGCTGTTGGTGGTTCCAGTGGGAGGCAGCCACTGGCTGAGCATGGTCGGGGTCATCCAGCGGCTGCAGCAGAGTGGACATGAAATAGTGGTTGTGGCGCCAGAGGCCGTATTGCATATAAAAGAAGAGTCATTCTACACCTTGAGGAGGTACGCTGTGCCATTCCGGAAAGAGGACATGGAAGCCAGTTTCAGTGAACTTGGGCATAATGTTTTTGAGAACGATCCTTTCCTGCAGCGTATGATCAAAATTTACAAGAAAGTCAAAAAGGACTCCGCTTTGCTTTTGTCTGGCTGCTCCCACCTTGTGCACAACAAGGAGCTGATGGCCTCCCTGGCAGAAAGCAGCTTCGACGTTGTGTTGACAGACCCTTTCCTCCCCTGTGGTGCCATCGTGGCCCAGTACCTGGCTCTGCCTGCTGTTTTCTTCTTGAATGCATTGCCGTGTGGACTGCACTATGAAGGCACCCAGTGCCCCAACCCAGTGTCTTATGTGCCTAGGTCTATGTCATCGAACCCAGATCACATGACCTTCCTGCAGCGGGTGAAGAATATGCTCTTTGTCTTGACAGAGAAAGTCACATGCAATGTGGTTTATTCTCCCTACGCGCAACTTGCTTCAGAAGTCCTTCAGAGAGACGTGACTGTCCAGGACCTTCTAACCTCTGCATCTATCTGGCTACTCAGAACTGACTTTGTTAACGACTTCCCCAAGCCCGTCATGCCCAATATGGTTTTTATTGGTGGGGTCAACTGCCTTCACAAAAACCTGCTCTCCAAGGTGTGTATTTGAATGGGATATTTACATGCATGCATTCTTGGGAGCTCCTTAGATGAAGGAACTTTCTGAAGGTATCTGCTATGTGAACATACTGATACAGTTTTAAAGATTTCTTTTGTTAATTTTCATTTCACAAGTCTCCTAGACTTGGGTTTGTTTTTAGCATCCCTTCTGAACACTTTCTTTGTATCTAAGATTTTGAGAAGGCATGTCTTGGGCATTTTATTTTGCATGCTTCATGGATAGTGATCAATGTAATGCAACAGGCATTAAATGTGCACACAGAGTGCTGAGTTTGGGGCATCTTGTAGAGAACAAAAATGTATGGCATACTCGTGGCTTGACTGAGCCAGATGCTTGCGGTTTAAGTCCATTGAAATAGGCCTTTGACATTCTTAGATCCTGGCAAGGAAAGTTGCCTATCTTGTCTTGGTTAAAGTTCCAGTTTCAGATATTCTAGCAGGAAGCCAGGTCCCGCAGCCTCTGTCTTTCTCTTCTCATAAGTGACCTACACAATAGGCAGGTTTTGCCATTGGGCAGAAAGGTAATGGATCTCATTCCCTGGCCGGCTAATATGCTAGCTTTTCCCTACTGAATGTGAGGTGAGCACAAAACTGGTACGAACATCCTCTTCTAAATGTCAGGAGAGATGATGGAGAACAAGAGAGGCCCCTCCGCACGGAGGGCTTGGGGAGGACTTTCCTGGGAGGAACATTTAAAGGCATTCATTTATTTAATGATTCTGTGTTGGTGGCGAAACTTCTGGGCTGAAAACAGTTCTTCTTATTCCTATAACTGTGTGTGTGTGTGTGTAATTTTCATTGCTTCTTGTACAACATTTACTTATTTATTAATATGTTGTGGGTATTGGTCTTGTTCTGAACAGTATGTCTGGGTTTTTTAACTGATCAATAGTATTTCATGATATTTAGGTCCCACAGTTTATTCTGCTAGCTGTCTAATCTAGTTTTCTATGGAAGAACATTGGAATTTGTACTCCAGGACATTTTGTTGTGACTTCCAACATTCTCTCAACAAAGATCAGATATTCTGTAGTTTTCTTCATACCTGTTCTGCCTCTCATTCACTCTTCTTGGGTCTGTTTTACCACTATGACCATGTCAAGTTTTCCATTTCTAGCGTCATTCTTGCTATTTAGCTATCTTGCCAAAATATTTCTTTGCATTAAAAAAATTTTTTTTAAGGTAAAGTCCCTCTAGCTTGCTAAGTTGCATAGGGTGAGCTCAAACTTGCCAGCCTCCTGCTTCCGGCTTCAGAGTGCTGGTATTGCAGGTGTGTGCCACCATGCCAGCTGCTTTCCGTAAATTTAAAAAAACTGACATGCTGTCATGTTCTTATAAAGGAACCTTAGGTTCTCCTGTAAGTTCCATGCCAAATATCAGTGTTATCCAGTTCTCTAAATTTTCTGAGAATGGTTGTACGATTCTGGCACTAGCAAGGATTCTTGTCTGGCTGCTGATTTGAATAGAAATTGACGTTAATGTTATCATTTTGTGTTCTGTTTGCCATTGTTCAGGACAAACAGTCTTTAATTAAATTATTTCCTTTTTTAAGATGTTTATGGGAGAAGCCACTCAATTTTATCAACTGCCTTTATGTCACTTATTGATGTAATTATGTTCCCTCTCCCCATAAATTTGTCCACCTTGTGAATTGCACAGAGTATAAACTGGTTGCTGGCTTGTTGGTGCAAGCAGGCTTAGGTGTGAAAATATTTGTGTAAATTGTACCTGATAGTAGCGTTCTTTATTTTGTTCAGTGTTTTAATCAGAAATTTCACTTTTAAAGTATTAATCTCTCTACCCTGCAGTATTTTTGTTCACATTTCTCTAGTACCTCCTTAGTACTCGTTTGTCTTTGAGGTTCTTTTATTTTCGAACAACATGGAGTTGAAACGTTTAATCTGGCCAGATAGATTGCTTCAGTAGGTTCATTTTGCATGTTCGAGTTTATCAGTGGCTAGATTTGATTGTAACTCTTCCAATTTATTTTATGTTTCATTTACTTTGCCCTTTTCCCTTTGCCTAACTTTTGCAGTTTGGAAAGTTAGAGTTTATTTTTTCTTTGCACTTTTGTTAGTTAAAAAGTGCGACTCTGTACTTCCGATACTCCAATGCCAATTGTCCCGCTTCCAACCGTCTTGGTAAAAGTTCTGAACTTCAAGAACAAAGATAAGGAAAAAAAGATTTAAAAAGAATGAAGATCCTGTATCAAAATTTATAAAAATAGAAAGGATTGAGGGTGTATCTTGATGAAAGTGTGCATTCATAAACCTCTAGGTTTAGTTCACAATACTACAAAAAACATTTCCAGGTACCTGTAATCTCAGGTACTTGGGAGACTGAGGTAGGATGATCACAGGTTCAAGGCCAGTCTGGGCAACTTAGCAAAAGCCTTCTGTGTCAAAATAAAATAAAAAGGGCTAAGGATATAGCTTAGTGGTAGAGCACCCCTGGGTTTGATCCTTGGCACAACAAAAAAAAAGAAGGAGGAGGAGG